AAAAGACATCAAGCTATAATATACTACTAGAAAGAGATTGATTGTGTGCAAATAACTATATTCCTTTCACTTTCAACCAACTCATTTTTTTTTTTTTTAAGAATGGCAAAAGGTATGAAACTATTTATACAAATGACATACCTTTCATTACAAGTGCTAATTATTTAAAAATGAGTTTATGTTAATAATTAGACAACCATCAATAGTTAGTTGTAAGAATAAAAAAAATTCAAGGAGGAATTAGAAAGAGTCCAAACAAGGCATTCATTTCAAGAATATCTTTAAAGGGAAATGTCAACATTTTCTTATGAATAATGAACCCAATGAGGGTAACTCTAAAAGGAAAAAGGCCCAAGCCAACATCTAAAGATCTATAGGGTATTTAACTAAAATAAAATTGATGTTAGAATACCGTCTAAATCGAGCAACAACTAATGACCAATCAATAATAATATAACTAATAGAGTTGTAGATTGAAACACCCAAAAAAGGCATACAGAGAAATAAACTCTCTCGAGAATTCAACCTAGGCACTAAGGAGAAGGAAACTATCACTTCTATTAGTGCCTACTTGAAACCTAAAAACAAAAAACGAGATAACATAGTCGGTAAAATAATTTAAAGACCGTATCCTATGGGATTACAACAATATATCGAGTTTGGATAAATAGCTAATGGAATTAACAATACCAATCAAACCAAAGGACAAATTTGCAAACGAGATATTTTAAGGATTGGTATTGTTAGAAAAATACATAGAATAGATGTTTAATATACTTTCGGTTGTCGAAATGATAAAACTAAAGTATGTATTAATTTTAAGGATTTAAACAAAATTACCTCTAAAGATGAATATCTCATGCTTGTAACGGATATTTTAGTAGACATTATTGCTAGAACCAATTTATTATCTATGATGGATAGGTCCGTTGGCTATAATCAAATACCTATTGTAGAAAAAAATATACATAAAGCATTATTTAGATGGACAAGTTTTATAGGAGCCTATGAATGGGTTATAATTCTTTTTAAATTGAAAATTATTAGGGAAACTTACCAAAGGGCAATGAATATAATTTTCTATGATTTAATTGGGAAAAATATAGCAATCTACCCGAATGACGTCATGGTAAAATTATAGACCAATAAAGGCATAGAGATGATTTGAGAGTAGGTTTTTAAGAATGAGAAAGTGTAAGCTGAAAGTCAATCCATTAAAATATGTCTTTGGATTCTTTACATGAAAAATCAAAGTATTTACACCTCTGTTAAAATGGAAACCAGAGAAGGAATTCATATAAAGACAAGAACATCAAGATGCTTTTGACACAATCAAAGAGTATTTGTCAAATCCATCTATCTTGGTTCCTCCAAAGTAGTAAAAAAAATATAATTGTAGCATGCTTAATTTTAAAGCTCATTAGCACAAGACAGCTTAGCACAAGACAATGAACACGGCTAAAAAAAGTTATATTTTACTTTAGTAGAACACTAAATGACCCTAATAGTAAATATCATCCCATAGTTAAATTGCACGAGAAAACATGACTCGCAATATAAACAAAAAATGTGAGGGTGCAAAGTGATAAATATCATTTCAAATAGATTACCAACATATAATTGAATAGAAGATAGAAAGATTGAATACAATAGATAAATTCCAAGTATCCGTTATACTTTAGGAACTAAAAGAATGAGCAATTACACACTAAAAGAACTATTTTATTCCACAAGTCGAAAAGACTTCCACATAAGAAAAGAAGAGAGGCGGATGTCCCGCCAAAATTTTATTTGGGTTTGATAACCTAACAAATTAGAAGGAAATAGCCCATGAGTTCTTTTTTGAAGGTGTCCTCTTAACCTCCTTCTTGATTGATTTCACTTAAGCCCATTCTCTAGCTAGTCATTACGGTGCCATATCTAGTTTAAGGCCCAACACTTAATGAGTTTGCGACTCAAAAACTTGATCTAGAAGAAATAGATTGGGAAAACTTGCAACGATGAAAGCAAAGCAATTTTCTCTTAGAGATGTGTGAAATATGAATTCTTTACAAGATTGAATGATGAAAAGATACAAAGATAATCTTAATTAACAAAAAGATGAATTAACACGTAATTAATAGAAAAATGTTAGAAATTAGGCACTAGTAAAGACATGATCTGGATAGTTATAAGAAACATGAGACATTACAACACAAGAATAGCATAACGACTACGAAGAACATGGAACATTGTAATAAATAAAAAAATAAAAAGCTGTAGAAGAATATGGAGTAGTGCAAAATACATGACAAAATGTAGAAGAATATGGTTCACCACAAAAGATCATAAAGAAACAAAAAGCCTATAAATAAAAATTATAATTAACAAGAAGAAAACACACACAAACAACTCAACTTGTAAATTACAAACAGCTTGTGAAGCACTTATCTAAGTTCCAACATACTTTAAACTTGCTAGGCTATAACTAGTAAGTAGTAATTTGTAGGCGATAATCATGTAAATTGATAATTCCTAAGCTAGTTCTTGGTTCTTATCTTGTGTTTGTAAAAATCGTGATTCTCAATTCCCGAAAGAGCATTATGTTTGGAGTGCTAATTTTTAAACATTCACCACTTAATGAATGTAAGTATTTTTCTTTCGGATTGAGTGTTGTAAAAATTGTAACATTGTGATTTTGATTCATGTATTGTTAAGAATTTTAAGCTTACGGTTTCTAGATTATTGTTAATATTGCAACTTTTCTTTCCCAATATTTAGGTTCTTTAATTTTTCGGTTTGAATTTATTATATTGATTGCGGATTAGCTCAAGAGTTTGAATTATTAGTTTAGAATAATTATTATTGTAAATAATTGACCTTACAAATTTGCTACCTAATCATACAGACCTCTTCTAAGGGTTTGAATACTAATTATAATTCGTTTAGTTTAGTTTTATATTTTAAAAAAAAAAAGACAAAGAAAAAAAAACCATCATTAGAACAAATACTAGTACCCTTAGAATAATTAATTATGTTCATTTACCTTCAAATCTGTAAATTAGACTATCTCATAGACTACAATCCAACTGTTTTTTTTTTATCTTTTGTTTTATATATATATAATTGAAGTAAATACAAAAGAATCCAAAAACACTAATTTTTAAAAGCATTTTGTTTGGATTTTAAAAATATAACAACGGGTTGTCAGCTTTTTATGTTTTTATAAACGAAAGAAAACGTTAATTTTCTGTTCGTGCTTTTTTAAAAGAATCTAAAACCATAAACGAAAAATGCAAATTATACCAAAACAACTCATTGTCAGTTTTAGCTAATCACTCATGATAGATCGAAGCATTTTGATTTTGGGTGTAAACAAAAATACAGAATAATGTCAACATCATTTTCGGGTGTTAGAAGATTAGGTCGCCTCCTCTTGTTGACTAAAAGACTCGATCCTTTTTTTAGGTAGGCAAAGACTCAAAACCACCTTAAACGCAAATTGAGATTAGCTTAACTTATCATAATGTCGTTATCAGTAAGATATCAACCTTGGATTATAGGAATTGACAAATTTTAAAAACCAATAAATGACCAGATAAATAAATAAAAAAATGTTGAGCAATAAGGTGTACATTTGATATTTTCTTGGAATATACCTTTCTTTCAATTTCTTAAAATCGTCTCATTTGCTACTCAAACCAACCATTATATTTATCTATTAAGCAAAATCCATCTGCATCGTCTATTTGTTATTAACATCTATACCTGTTTATTCTGTCCGTACCTAATTTATAAAAAAAACATATTAGTTGTCTTAGCTGTCCATTTCAACGATCCATGAAGAAGATTGAAATGCAATCTACAATTATTCTTTTCTCATCACCGATAAGCCAAAATTCAGTAGGTGGCTATTCGCCTCCGCCTTCATATTTGACCCAGACACCACGTGCCTGTCCTCTTATTTGTTTATTGCGGAAAAGAGGTTCAATAACACTAGGATTATTTGATATTAATCTTTTAAAGGAACGTCCTTGTGCTTTTAATTTGAGCAACTGGATGTCTATAAGTTGATTTGTCAGACAGTAGAGCCCATGCATCCATAATCAAATCAATTTTGACTTTTAAAGGCAACGGGAGACATTTGCTTCTTTTTTTTTTTTTTATTGGTTCCAATTTCAAAAAAAAAAAATTAAGATTAATACAATACTATAAAATAAAAAATAAAATTTACCAATTTTTATTTATTCGCCACTGTAACCAAAGTTCATGCCCCCAAGCTAAGATTAGGTTTGGCAAACTCAGCCCTTTGGCGGAGCTAGGGTTCAAAGATAAAAGGGGGTAAACTGAACATTTCCAAGAAATATGGGGAACATATGTCTAAAAGGAGGGAGTAAATTTGAATTACTAAAGCTAACGAAGAGCTAAAATGAATATTTTGAAAGGGGGCAATTGATGTAAATCCACCCTTGGGCCCCTAGTGGGCATTCTGATCGTTCATGGGGGCATGAACTGCATGGTCCTGGCCTTTGGGGGAATGAGAAGGCACTAAACCAGAACATTAACTAGATGGCTGCTTCTTTATAATATTGTGCATAAGGCATGGGCCATCGTGAAGCATTTAGATGCATACACCTAAACTACCCCAATCGCTTTCTGTTGTACTAGATAGTTCCATTTGTCCTTTGCTTCTCTTTGTACTGTAGGTAAGAAGAATACGGCTTCCTTTAATTTCTTGATTATCAAGGGGTGAATCCAAGGACACAAGCAGCTTGGGTCAGGTTCAGTCCGTCCCAGATTAAAAATTGTATAACCATTGATGCACTTTAAAGCCCTACTTTAGTCAGATCAATTACTGCAGTGGCCTATATTAATGGGCTCATTAACTTGAAGCTGCCAAAAACATCCAACTTATTGAACTCGAATCGAATCATTACCATACCGCCTTCCCACAACAAATCTGGCACAATTTGCCAAGAGCAAGTTACATAACAAAACAAGCAAAACTGAATGCAATACCTTCAATACCCTTCCATTAAAATTCCTAGTGAACAGAAAAGTATAAATGTAACCAAGCCAACAAAAGGGGATGGGCTCCCTTCATATGGTTCTACCACTCCCACTACTCCATTATTCACAACACCAAAGGAAGGTGCAAAGTCGGATCCTGGCCAACCCAAAACCAAGATTAAAATGACAATTTGATGAATGCAATCAAAGCACACCCAAAGATGAAGAGAAATGGAAACAGTTGTAGGATTTTCCTCTGACATAATTAAACCAAGAACCTTTTAATTTTCATAAATTCAAAGACAATACAAACTTCGGAAACAAACTGACTACAACAAGCTCATAAGGCAGGACATTATGTACACACTAAATTTCTGTCAGTTTTATGTACATACGGTATTATAATGCTAACCAGTTGTTCTTGTTGTCAGTACAATGAACAGTAAATGGGCAGCTTATAAAACGTTCATCAAACATCCCTTACCTTAAGCTTGATTTCGGCAAGTGAATTGGATGGTTTCTTTGGGCTTAATGGAACAGCGCTGAACTTGTGAACCAAGACCTTGAAACATGGCAAAAATATTATGTAGAGTGCAGCCAGAATAAAGGGTGCTGCTACTAGCCATCCCAACAACTGCAAAATCATTGGGTTAAGATCAAAAATACATAAAATAGAATGCTCTGTAAAGATCTACAGGAAAAGCCACATAAGGATTTCCTCATTAGCTCCACCACAATCTAACCTATATAAAAGTACAGAATCATCCCAGTGGTTCAAGGAGGAAAATGAAAAGAACAAGTCAAAGCATTGCCGATCCACTACAATGATTGGAATTTCTATCTAATCTAAAATTTTACAACAATTAGCATTGGGAGTCAAAGGTGAGCAGCCACATCAACTGATCGACAAAGTTAGTACAGTATAAGCTGCAAATGATATAGGAATTAGAATTTCAAGGTTCTCGCACCACAGTCTGGGTTGTTACATCTTGTCACATGGAATGACAGATAAGAACCTTATTCATTGAAAGAATGTTCGACATGCCAAAGCACGTGCCAAGGTATCTTTTATTTGTTGATTGCATTTTGAGTAATTATGACCAGAAACATGAAGAAGAAAAGAAAGACTTCACTGATTTGTAAAAGGGTGATTAGATGCAAAAGATTGTCTACTTTTAAAAGAAAATCCCTACTCATTATAGTGGTTTCATGTACTCCTGAAACTGCTACTTGGTTTTTAAACATCTTATCCTCCTTGTTCTAATTTGAACTAATGGTACATTGGACTTTGCTGCACAGTTCAAGTTCACAGGGGTTTCTACCTCTTCATCATTTGTTAATCCATATGCCCTAATAAAAAACACTACCATCCACATTCTCCAGAAAGGGAATAGTTAAGTGACAGCATCTTCATAAACTGAATAGATTGTACTTCTGTGTGCTGGTTCCATGCACATGATGCAAACGAGACCTATCGTCTCGTATATGGCTTTTAATTCATCCATCTTCTCAACATAAAGAACCATAATAGCCCAAAAATATAATCTGATATTCTTAAGAAAAATTTAGTAATTTGCATTGAGAACACTAACTCCGTGGCCCCACCCCAGACACCAAAACCTGTCCTAGATTAGTCAATCTAAAGAAACCAATATCCTCCAGCAACCACATTGTGGCACTCAAGAAAAATCGGAAAGGTTAACTCACAAATACAAACCCACTCAATTAAGAACTTACACTATGAACAAAACATTGCAATAACCAATTAGATGGTTCTATAGTGGCATCCTCAACATTCATCCAGCATTTTGGATTAGCATAATTAGCAAATGCTGCAATCAGTGATTACCATATTACCCAACTGATCATCTGGAGGGTGTCATCTACAAATTATTCTCTACCAGGATTACTATTTTTTAGAGTGTTCAAATCTATTTAAACCAAGAGATTTTGATGCTTATATAATTTACATAATAGCTGCAACGAGAATAAAAATAACCTTTTCATGTCTAAATGCTCACTCAGAACACTATTTCTTCTGACTTGTAAATTTTAATGCTCTACTATGGTATATAGTGACTCATTTCTTGATCCCAAGATGTTCAACATAAATTCTTATAGAGTTTTATATCCACTGAAGCTAAACATCGGATTAGACTTGCATGCAAAAGAGTATTCGCTCATGTGAGATAGAGTAAGAGACTTGGTTAGAACCAATTTGGCTACTTACTGCATGAGCAACACTTAATATAACTTCACGCGAAGCTTGTCCCGTCAAAACCTTTTTCAATGCATCAGATGTCAATGGAAAATGAGGTCCACCAGTCATAACCTCTCCAAAGCGCAAGAAGGGCACCAACAAACTTGAAAGCACAATGTAAAATCAAAATTCAGAAAAGAAAAACCAATCCAGCACACTTAAGGTGCTGCAATGCTTGCGTTTACAAAAAGGACAACAAAGAGAAATCCAAATGCGCATCAAAGCTTATTGGTGCATCAGACACCAAATCCCCAAGTATTTACTTAAATCAGAAAAGGCGGCAGAAAATGGACCAAAACCAGGTATAAAAAAAATTGAAACAAAAGCCGAAACCTTATCACAGATTATCAGCTGAAGATGGATAGAATACAAGGATCCAGCCAGAAAGCAGAAATACCTCAATTCTATGGGAGTAGCAATGAAGTTAGCTAACATCAAAGTTGGAGCATGGCAAAGAGATCCAAGCAACCCAATAGCCACTCCACAAAGCAGAACAGTAACACCTGCACATCCAAGCATATACTAATTTTATTATATAGCTTCAAGAACATCCCAATCACAAATTCAGAAAAAAAAATTACTTAAAAAACTAACAAACTAAAATTCATACCGCATATAGGAAATATTCCGAGAGTAATACCAAGTGCTGCCGAGAAAGCCAATTGCTTCGGCTCTAAACCCCTGCAAAAAAATTTATAACAACAAAAGACCGAAAACCTCTGGATATTAAACTGGATGATAGTGACAAAAACAATAAAGCATAAAGGATTAAAGAGACTGTTAGAACCTGCGAAGGATTTGATAGAGAGGATCGACGATCTTCTTGTTAAGCCAACCCATTAATCCCATTTTCGGTATCGCCATTTTTTCACTTCTTCTTTCCAACTTAATTCTCTAATCAAATCTTTTTTTTTCCTTTTTCTTTTCCTTCGATGAGAATCAAGCACAATAAATTCTGTATTTAATTTTCATTTCCCTACTCAGATACTACCAGATTCCTTTCTCGCTTTCAATAAAAAACAAATATTTATTTATTATGTCCTTTTGAATGTTTACTCTTCAAGACATAGAGATTCTGGGGAGGAGAAGAAAGGTAGTTGAAACTTGAAAGAATGGTGTTCGTTCAGTTTGTGATCTGCTGCGACAATATCATGGACACGCAAGGTTGTTAGGTTGTGGGATGAGGCCACGTCGTGTTTGATTTTCTGGAGTGCGGCGTACTGTGCGGCTGAGATACAGATGAATATTTCTCACGATGCACGTGTGTGAAACTCTTTGTCTGTCGTTTTGGTTCCCGAATGATGAGACACGTGTGCTCTTTCAAGGAGGAATCATTTCTTGAATTAATTAAAAAAAGATTCGTTTATCTGTTTGTTTAGGATAAATCATTTTTGTCCCTTACTTCTACTTTTATAATATAATAATTTTAAGAATAAATAGCTTTATTTTTTCTTATATAATAGCTTAAGTTTTCAATTTTTTTCTATATTTTTAATTTCATTTATTATATTCTTGACTATTGTTTAAGTCTTCATTATGTTTTTTTATCAATTTTTTTTACAATCAGTAAATTTTTTTTAATCAAAACGTCTTTTATTGAAATATAATAAATAAATATAATTTTAAAGACTTAAAAATAGAATATGAAGATCATGTGATTTTAGAGTAAATTATAAATTAGTCTCTCATTTTAAAACTAATTATTTAGTCTTTATTTTTTAAATCTACTTGTAAGTTAATCATTTTTGTTCTTTTTAATTTAATTTATTTTTATTTTAAGAAATGAAAAGATGAAAAAAATATAAAAAAATATATTGAAAGATTGAGGGGGAAAAATACATTTTGTAATATAAAAATAATATTAAATTAAGTATGGTTACATAAATCAAAATATTAAATAATAATTTTTGAAACGATGAGCACTAATTAATTCATTTCTTGAAACTAGAGGAACTAATTTATAATTTACTCTATGACTTTAAATGATTTTCTTTTTTCATTTTAGTCGTAGGCATTTGAGTGAAAAAAATCTCATAGAAAACTTTATCCAACTCGACATATTAAAAACTTAAATATTATTTAGAAACATACACCATAGAACTCAACAATTACACTTATTTACTCAACACTTAAATGCAATTAAAAATGTAGAGACAAATTAGAGACTAATAGTATTATACAAAGATACATTAAGTTATTTATCATGATTTCAATTTCAACTTTTTGCTTCTATAGTTTGTTAAGAATTTTTAAAATACTCTTGATTGCTAAAATGGCTAAAGAGCTTATTTTTTACATTTTGGATAAATAACTTTATCTGTTATTATATAATAAATTGAGTCTCTAATATGTCCCAATGTTTATAATTCCATTATGTCTTTGAATAATATTTAAGTCTCTCATTTCTCTTTTTGATTAATTTTTTCAATAATAAATAATTTTTTTAATCGAAATACCCTTAGTTGAAATTCAAAAAGAAAAATTTAAATACCTTAAAAGCGAGAACATAGAGGTTATGTGATTTATTATTATTATTGCATTTCAATGATGAGTATTTGAGTAAAAAAAAAGAGTGATTGGAAAATTTAATTAAAAGGATAAATTAAAGACTTAAATATTATTTAAAGATATAATAGATAGAATTAAAAAAAAATTAAACACATGAACTATTACATAAGTACATATTAAGTTAATCTATTTATCCTCATATTTGCTTATTTTTCTCTACTTAAGAGGTCTATAATGATACTAATGGCTTGGACCAATATTATCATCTCTCATTCATTCCTTGTTGGTTTATGTACATATGCGAATATATTATAAAAGTATTTAAAAACCTGAAAAAAAAGTAGTTTTAATATTTAGGGTTAAGGATAAGATTAAAAAAATTAGGTAGTGTTTGTTTTAAAAAATAATATTTTAATTTTCATATCTTGTTATATTATTTCTATAAAATATTAAAAAATATATATTATATTATTAAAAAGGAAAAAAATAATCATTTCATGATAACATTAAGAAACTGTAAAAAATAACTATTTTTTTACAATGGTAACAAACGATAATAAACAACTATTTTTATATCAACAAAAAATGACTATTTTTCATTACTTAGAAAGAAATGAATACAAATTTTATATTTCCAAGACCATATATATATATATATATTGAAAAAAAAAAAAAACCCCTTCGTTTGTATTCTTTATGTCATCACCAAAAGTCATATCTCTTGTATTGCAAATTTGGATAAAATTGGTACTATATTTTGTTTAGTTTCAAGGCTTGCGAGCGATTCAAACTTGTTAGATAGGACTAGATAAATGAACTTTTCATATTTTTAGACAACGTGCAATACACATTTAATATGTTATATAAAAAATTTATACAAATAACGTGTATCATTTCGAGAAAATAATTCGGTTATATCTTGAGATAGTTAACTTAAAATTTTGATAAAAATAATTTGATAGTTCAATTATCTTTATACCATGAAACTATTGTAATATGATTTTAGTCTCTAATTTTTCTAATGATCAAGGTAAAAGGTTCTAATTTTTTATCCATCTTAATTTACAAATGGATTATTATTTATTTATTATGTGATTTTTTTTATTTAATTATGTTACTTTTTTATATGCTAGAAACAACATCTCCAATTTTCTTATTTATTGTAAAAAGATTTTTTATGCAAAATTAAGAAAACATGTTTACTAGTAAAAAAAAAATTTAAATACAAAATAATAATCTTGTTTGACTTATTTTTAAAAATAATAAAAAGAAATGAAATAAAACATTAAGGGAACCAAACAAGATCCTTATTTTTTAATATAGAGAATTTTAGAAAATAACTATTTTGATATTTTCCAGATTTTTAGATAATTGAAATATTAGAAAATACATATTTCCAAAAAAAACAACTTTCTGTTAGAAAGCAACATTTTCTAGTTTTCTGTTTTCTAAAAAACTTTTTCAGAAAACTTTCCACAAGTAGACATTACTATTATATGTCTGGAGAATCGAAATGGAAGGAAAGAAAATGGGGTAGAGGAAAAAAAAAATCCTTAAACTTTTTCTTTTGCTTGGGAAAAAAAGGGACAACGGAAGAAAATTTTACTCCACTTTCAATTCATTTTCCATCCAAACAAAGAAAGAAAATGCTTTTCTTTCAGCTCAGTTTCTTTTGTGCTCTCTCGTTTTTTATTATTATCAGTTATATATATATATATATATATATATATATATATATATATATATATTTTTGTCGCTCATTTTTTTATAGGCGCTGACAAAGAGCAGACAAAGAGACATGAAGGAAGTATTGATGTCTAATCATTTGCTTTAAGATAGTCTATCGGCCTTGGAAAAGACAAATAATTTTCCTTCAAGTAAAAGCCACAAGCAAATGATGGAGTCCTCTAAAGGTTATGTGATTGGTATGCACACCATGTCTTGCTTCTATAGAAAGTTTCAGAGTAGCTTTTCCTACCAATTATTTTAGGTTCATAAGAAAAGCAAATGATTCTTGTTAGATTATACAATTTTCTTTTTGGAAAATAACATTGATAGTTTTGAGTGCTAATTCCCACCTCTCAAATGTTACTAACTCACATATTATGATTATTTGGAGTATATCCAAATTAACCTTTTTTTAATATATATATTTTTTTCAATTGCAAGTTTTAATATATGAAATATAAATTAAAAAAACTTCAATGTGATAGGTTTTCTTTTTTCTTTTCTTTTTTTTTAAAAAAATCTATATGTAATAAAAGAAAAAACTATCAATATAAATAAAAAAGAACTGGGAGTAGCCACAGTCTCCACGAAAGTTGAGTAAATTTTGAAGCCTATAAAAGTTGAGTATAAAGGTCCAGAAAATCCGGATGTGTACCAAGAAAGTAAGCCCAGACTAGCAAAATAGTAGAGCTTAACTACTTTTTTTTTTTTTTTTTTTATGGGTCCTGCAAATTAAATAAAACACATAAAATTATTTTAATTTGATGTTTCGTATTATATATATATATATATATATATATATATATCAAATCAAAATTAAATAAAAATTCATTCAATTTTATAATTTTTAATCAAAATTTTATATTTGACTAATTATTTTTTATGTTTTTCATAATTTTTTATTAAAAAATATTATTTATTTATTTTTATCTACATTCTTAACTAAGAAATTTATAATAATATAAAAAATATCAAAATAAATATATTCTTAGTTAAAAACTTATTTTGTAAATTATTTTTCTAAACATTTTTTATCTTAAAATTTTTAATTAAATAAAAATCAGAGAGAAAAAGAAAAAAAAGATCAAAGTGATCGAAATGAAACAAAAAATATTTACGGACTAAAAAAATAATATTTTAAAAGTAAAAATTAAAATATAATATCATGAAAATTTTTAAAATAAATATTGTTAAAATGTTTGAAAACTATAAAAATACTATTACATAATTTAAAAAAAAGAACACTTGAATCTTGATGAATAGTCAGATAAATAGTGTTTTACATAGTGATATGAATAATAACTCATAGTTTTTTTTTTTTTTTTTTTTTTGAGTGACCAGGGTCCAGCAGCTACGACTCCTGACTGAAATCATAAAGAGAGTTTTGTTTGACAATAAGCTCCAAAGAGAGTTTTGGGATCTATTGACCCTGATTTAAAAGCGTGCATGGTACGTATTTAACACCGCCAAAAGATTATGATTTTGCTACAGTGGATACTGTTGCCAAGAGAGAGATTCATTAACTGTATCAATGAAATTGGCAGGATGAAGATTTGAGCACAATAACATGGAGTTTCTAGAAACGAGGGTAGAATTTTGAACCTAATGAAACTCTGTAAATAATGATAATTGAGGCCATATACAGAATTCTCTTGTGATAAGCCGCACTATCGGAAGAGGCTGATGCCTGTAACGCACAGGTTCAACAATTTGAGAAGAATATTATCTTCGTCCCAAAGAAAAACCTTCCTCACGACATTCAGTTCTAATATCTTGCATAAGCTGTTGAAGAAGATTGGGGTTATTTGTAACAACAGCATCAACATGCTCAAACAACATCTTCTGCATAGAATCCACATCATCAACCGTCCAGGCATATGCCTTTTTGTTCCTTCTGTAAACATGCTCAAATATAATCAGGGGTCATCTATATAGTTAGCAAGTGCAAAGTAATGCACGGTTCAGATTGCAATTCAAACCTGTGGAGAATTGTAACTAGCTTTTCATCAATCAAAGGATGGTAAACACCAACAACACCAGCACTCTTCATTCTCAATAAATTCGTTTTAATGCCTGTATCAGGATCCACCATGACTATATAGCCCACCTGCAAGAAGACCAGCATTTACCTAAAGTTGCAAATTAATAAGACAATTCAACAGCTAACATCATTAATTTATGAAACCAAAGGGGTGTTAAGACTTGACCCACGGTACAGGAGGTCCTCAGTTTGAGTCTTGCCCTTAGATAGCTTACGAGTTCTAACTAACATGGGCCACCAGGAGAGAGACCTGTTCCCAAAAGCAAAGTAGGCTCTTGTCGATCTAAGGGCTAGAGTGACCTAACACGGCTAGTTCTAGGCAGTGGAGGACTGCTCGTGATGAACCCAAGGGACCCACTGTTACCCCACTTTTTGCAAACATATAAAATATACACACATCACTGATTTATATCCAAAACATCTGTGTTTAGAGTTAAGATCATATATAGAATATGTACATTTTTTAACATCTTAATTTAGGGACCTAGGTCCCACAAGTAACATGAAAAACTCATTCTTTATGTTTCAATATTGCAGCTAAAAGCTTACTAAAAGACAGCAAAAATGTGCCAAGGAAGGATTTGAATTTGCTATGATCAGCTGAGGAGTACACTTCAGGCCAGCTCGGCAGTTAGTAAAACCACCACCAAAACTAATGTACACATTTCTCTTTAAGAAACGAACCAAAGACCCCAAAAAACAAAAGAGGCCAAGTAAACGTGCTAGTCCAGCACACAAGACAGCACTTTGCCCAGGAGATGTGACAATTAAATGGGTCCCAGCTTTGTCTCCCCTAAAGCCATTATCTTTGTCTAACAATCAAGAGTAGTGTAAGTTAACATAGAACGATAAATTAACCATGTCTCCACCAACCACTCAATTATAAATAAATTAATTCCATGAAATAGAAACAGTTGAACTGATTTACCGTGACATTCGACTTTAGTTTGATTATGTCTCTCGCCAAATTGTCACTTTTCGCCCAAATAAGGCAATTCTTACACTGCAATCTCTCAACCTGGCAATCAAGCACAAGGGCTAATTACTAAGAGAGACATGTTAACTAAAAGTGAATGTTAGACATTTAACAATATTATCAGAGTGCCAAAAGACCAATGCTGATGATGCAAGCTTCTGCATTCATCAGTAACATCATTCTTCAGGTAAATTATTCAGGGCTAGCTATTCTCAATGCGTAGGGTCAAATTCTTAGACCTGCAGATTCAAGCCCCTTTGTAATGTTTCTTACAAGTTATATCCACATCTTATTTCAAAAGTCATTGTAATTTCTAACAACTAATACAAAACATGTGCACAAGGTATTTATACATATTGGGGATTCATGGACATCAATCTCATCTAATATGGCATCTTTCATTGGCACCTTAATAACCAGAATTCGAGAAAAGAATCCCAGGAGAAAAAAAAAGCACTGCATCCAACGCATGAAAATAAAAGCCTTTTTCCCAAACAGTTTCCTTTCTTTCCAAAATGATTTAAAAAAAAAAAAAAAAAAACAAGTACATTATTTTTTGAAACTAGTTAATTTGAAGGCTAAAGCATCATTTAATGTGAACAATTTTAAATGATATCCGAGTTTTATAAATATTCAATTAAACTATGACTGTATCCAGTTGTAGACCAAGGTACTCGATCAGTGCTAAACAACAAGGGTGCCCTAAATAGGATTATTGTTGAAGTTAAATCGCTCTAATTTGTAATCCCCATTCTTCTTTAACTACTGAAATGGCATGCATTAAACATGGTAGAATTTGAAGGTTGTAAACGGGAATCCAGCATAAGAAAAAAATATAGGTTAATTTGAAAACAGATTAAAATAAGAACGTATAGGTGATATTTTCGAGGAGCAGATATTAGCTTTTTTGAAAATAACATCCAAATCAAACATTTTTCAAAAAATTATTTTAATCTTTACATTTTATTTTCATGACATTTTAGTTCTTAATTAAAAAAAAAATTTGATTGCCTATTTTTCAATATATGCAATATACCATATATATATATGTAGAAAGATCTTGTATGGTTAGCATATTCTGAAAATTATTCTATTTTAGGAAGTAAATCATTAGTCTCCTAAGTATTTGGGGTCAATTTCCTAAATAGTAGCTGTCACTACAATTTAGGGATTTATATATTTTTTTCCTAAAGAAGCGCATTAGGAAAAGATCTCTCGCCTATAAATATGTATAGTCTTACCTCAATGTGTAATATAATAAAAAATATATTTCTCTCCTAGAAATTTTCATGGTATTAGAGCCTAATTCTCTTATTCGACCGTTTGTTGTCCGACCAATTGTCTCTTGCCTAACCCTAACGTATCCGTCCTAGTGTCCCGTCCTCGAAGCCACCAAACAATGAGTTCGGGAAAGGAGACTTCAAGCGTGTCCTCAAGTCCCACATCCGAATCCACTCGGTCATCGGTGGTTTTGCGGTCCTTTGAGGGATCGTCACCGCAAATAACCAACCATAGATTGGATGGTAAGAACTTTCTTCAATGGTCCTAGTCGGTTCTCATGGTTATCCAAGGGAGAGGAAAGTTCGGATACATCACTAGAGGACTCGGTGACCCAACATAGGGGAACCGACCTATGCTAATTGGGAACTCAATAACTCACTAGTCATAGCATGGTTGATCAACTCAATGGAACCTCACATCATTCGCACTTATCTATTTCTCGAACCGCCAAAGCAATTTGAGATGCTCGTCATTATGAACTACTCGACCTTGAAAATGTATCTCAAGTTTTTGAGATTAAAACTCAACTAAAGGAAATACGACAAGGTAGTATGGATGTAACCGAGTATTGAGTTACAAATACTTTGACGTGAGCTGGATATGCATTATGAAGTTGATTGGGGAGATCTTGAAGGCAATCTGCAGCTCAAAAGGCATTTAGAGAATGAAAGATTGTATGAATTCTTGACTGGCCTTACACAGGAGCTCGATGAGGTGCAAGGAAGGATACTAGGACATAGACCATTGCCCTCTATTGATGAAGCATTTGCGAAGTAAAACGAGAAGCCGGTAGGAGACGTGTTATGCTTGGTGGAAAAAGAGACTCCATGTCCGACTTGACCGGAGAAAGGTCGACTAATACAGCAACTCTTGCTGTACGCAATTCCTATAACAGATTTGGTGGAGATCAAAAAAATAATCAAAATAATCAAAGAGGGGGACGTCCTTGGTGCAACCACCGCAATAGAGCTGGTCATACCCGTGATACTTGTTGGGATATCCATGGAAAACCAAGTGAATTGAAAGCCTCGACGAACAAGCAAAAAGGGTTTTCAAGTAATAGTAGAGGAGGAAACTAAGGAAATCAGTTATAGCAATGAGTCAAATGGTGTATTCCTAAGCAAGTCTCAATTGGAACAAGTAGCAAAAATTGTTGGATCAATCAACATTGAGTGATACGAGTTGTTAGTGGTTTTGCCCATAAAGGTACAGACTCTTCATGCAAAAAATACAAATACTTGGATGCTTGACTCCGGGCATCCGACCATATGACGAGTAACTTGTCTCTATTTTCCACTTATACTCCTTGTCATGGGAATTTCAGAGTTAAAGTAGCAGATGGTACCTTTTCTCCCGTCACTCGGAAAAGGCTTAATCCATCTCTCAAAGGAGATTTCTTTAAGTTATGTCCTTTATGTACCAAACCTTGCTTGTAACTTGATCTTTATTAGCAAGATTACCAAGTGAACTTAACCGTATTGCTGTTTTTTTTTGGCAACTCTTGTATACCTGCAGGACTTGGAATCGGGGAGGATAATTGGCGATGCTAAAGAAAAAGGTGAACTCTACTATTTTGAAGATGACAAATACATGACTAAGCAAGCTACCGTGGTTAAGAGTGACTCTACCTCTGCTACCAATAATAATGCAATAATGTTGTGACACCGTAGGTTAGGACATCCAAACTTTCATTATCTTAAACATTTGTTTCCAAGTTTATTTATAAATAAAAATCCTAGTTCTTTCAGTTGTGAAATTTGTCATCTTGCTAAACATACTCGTACATCCTTCCCAATCCAGCCATACCAAGAGTCTCGTCCATTTTCCTTAATTCATAAGTGACATATAGGGACCTTCTAATGTAAAAAATATCTCTCGTTACACGATAGTTCATCACTTTTATCGATGACCACACTCGAGTCTCGTTGAGTTTATCTACTTAAAGAAAAATCCGAGACCGCAAAAACATTTCAAACTTTCCATTTAATGATAAAAACCCAATTTCACATCTCTATCCAAACATTAAGAATTGACAATGGAAAGGAATATTTTAATGCAATTCTTGGACACTACCTTGAAATTAATGGAATAATCCATCAAAGTTCATGTCCGAGACACACCTTAGCAAAATAGTGTGGCAGAAAGAAAAAATCGTCACCTTCTTGAAGTTGCTCGAGCCTTAATGTTTACCATGAATGTCCCAAAATATCATTGTGGGAAGCTATTCTAACAGACCTCTTACCTCATAAATAGAATGCCCTCTCGAGTTCTTAAATTTGACTCCCCATTGTCAACTTTGCTAAAAACTTACCCAACCTTTCGTTCTATTTCCTCCATACCACTTAAGACTTTCGAGTTGTACAGCTTTTGTAAACATCCAAAATCGTTCTAAACTAGACCCAAAATCCTTCAAATGTGTCTTTATTGGATATTCTCCCACTCAACGTGGGTACAAATGTTATTCTCCATCACTTCATCGGGTTTTTGTGTCCATGGATGTCTCTTTTCTTGAGTCTTAATCTTTTTTCCAGAATACTTATCTTCGAGGGGGATTTCGGGCGAAGATAAGTCATGGAAAATACCCGAAATAGAATCTTTATCCCTGTCTCCCTCTTCCATTCCAACCCCAGCTTCCTAATATTGAATCTCGACCTATTATGCCACTCAATACACACAGAGAAACATTGAAAACAGGAGGAGATAACTCCCAGCCACAATTGCTTGTTATTCACGTAGGAAACATTCTCAAAAAATGGAGAACCCCGAAACTCAACATGGTCGAGAGTCCGACCGAATCTAAGTCCCGTTGTCGAAGGTACTAGTGAACCCGTTCAGCATGATATTGAGCTTCAAAACCATACTTTAGACCTAGATATTCCAATTGCTCATAGAAAAGGAACAAGGTCTTGCACCTAGGATCCTATATCTAGGTTTGTCTCCTATGAAAGGTCGTCCCCGAATTTCATGCTTTTACTACTTTATTGTCCGTAACGGAGGTACCAAAAAATATACAAGAAGCACTTGCCGACCCGAAGTGGAGAGCAACTCGTTCAAGAAGAAATAGGTGCCTTGAACAAAAGTGGCACATGGGAGATTACAAAACTCCCTAAAGAGAAGAAAACAATGGGTTGTAAGTGGGTCTTTACAAGTAAAGTTCAATGTTGATGGTAGTATCGGTCGATACAAAGCTAGGCTTGTGGCTAAAGGCTTTAATCGGACATATGGAATTGACCATCAAGAGACCTTTGCTCCAAGTGGCTAAGCTAAATACAATAAGAGTTCTTCTCTCCTTAGCCTCTAATTTTGATTGGCCACTACAACAATTAGATGTAAAGAATGCATTCCTAAATGGTGACTTACACGAGGAAGTCTATATGGATGCACCTCTTGGATTTGAGAGAAAGGATAACCTAGTGTGTAGATTGAAAAAAAAACTCTTTATGGGTTGAAACAACCTCCTGAGAGTGGTTTGAAAAATTTACTCAAGTTATCAAGAGTAGGGGTTTTACTCAAGCATAATCCGATCACACATTGTTTTACAAGCACTCTAAAGATGGAAAAATAGTCATTCTTATAGTGTATGTAGATGAGATTATCCTAACAGGAAATGATCACATATAATTGATCTGTTTTAAAGAAGTACCTAGCAGGAGTGTTTGAATTGAAAGACTTGGGGGCTCTAAGGTACTTCCTTGGTATGGAAGTTGCTAGAAGCAATCGGGAATACACTTACACAACAAAAGTATGTACTTGATCTCGCTTCAAGATACCGGTATGTTGGGTTGCGGACTAGCTCGAGACACATATGGATCCAAATACTAAGTTAGATATTGAAGGAGGTAGAGAGGTTGATCGGGAACGGTATCAAAGGCTTGTAGAGAAGCTGATTTACTAGTCACACACAAGACCAAACATTGCCTTTCCAATAAGTATGATTAGTTAGTTTATGCATTCACCCAAGGACACACATCTTAATGCAGCCTATAGAATTTTGAGGTATTTAAAGAATACTCCTAGTAGAGGTTTATTCTTTAGGAAAAGTGAACATAGAATGATAGAAGTTTATACCGATGCAGTACGGCGATTCTCTCTTGGGTAGAAGGTCAACTTTGGGTTATTGCACATATATCCGGGGTAATCTTGTAACTTGGAGGAGTAAGAAGCAACCCGTAATTTCTAGAAGCGATGCGTGAGTCGAGTTTCGGGCTTTAGCTCAAGGTATTTGTGAAGGAATATGGCTAGGGAGATTACTTAGTGAATCGAAGATATCTAACAGACTTTCCCATGAAGCCGTATTGTGACAACAAGGCAGCAGGGTGTATAGCTCAAAATCCCGTCCATCACGATCGAACAAAGCATGTAGAATTTGATCGACACTTTATCAAGGAAAAGATTGACAATGAAAGTGTGTGCATGGTTTATATCCCTAATAAAATGCGGACAACTGATATAACTAAAAGCTTGCATAAACCAAGCTTTGAAGATTTAGTAAGCAAGCCGAGAATGATTAACATATACGCTTCAGCTTGAGGGGGAGTGTAGAAAAATCTTGTATGGTTAGCCTATTCTGGAAATCATTTTATTTTAGGAAGTAGATCATTAGTCTCCTAAGTATTTGGAGTCAATTTCCTAAATAGTAACTCGTCATTATAATTTAGGGATTTATATGTTTTTTCCTAAAGAAGCAGTTTAGGAAAAGATCTCTCGCCTATAAATATATATAGTCTTACCTCAATGTACAAGTATAATAAAAAATATATCTCTCCTAGAAACTTTCAATACATATATATATATATATACAAAACCTCCAAGCAACACATCAATAGAATATCTAATAGCTGTTTGATAGTTTAAAATCTTCTCTGCTTAACAAAAACCAAGATGCATAACTAGAGTTCTCAAGAGGACAACAAAGACAGAAAAGGTGGGAGAGTAAGATGGGATGGGGAAAATAAATAAAAGCATAAAATTACATCATGCATGTGGAGCACCCAATTTATTGAGGTGCTTGTCACACAAAACTCGCTGAGTACAGTGTAGGGGGCAGGCCCATATATCTATTATCAAACCTTAAATTTATAGTATCTCCGCCATCTATTATTAGAAATGTCAGAAACGAAAAGCCACCAATCAAGACCACAACTGAGATATTAATGTCCTGCATGATAATTCTGAAAATATGTTGACATGTGATAATAGTGATGTCAAGAGTCTATATAGATTATGATTCAATTCTTAAAAAGAAAAGCATATATTCCATCTCTTCCTTAGCAAGTGATCTGGTTACTTGGCCTATACTGCACTTGACTTTTCTCGAGAAGATTATCCCAAAATACAACTATGACTTCATGAAATTTTGTTAGAGCTGTTAGAAATCAAATGTTAAAGAAATGCAGATATCCATCAAGAATAGCTGGTTTATTACTAAAGAAGTTCTCACAAGAAGCTGCACAACCACTTTCCAATTTCTCATGTTATTATTTCCGTTCACTTTTTTCTAGGTTTTGGAAATCAAATGATTAGTAACTGTAATCTAGTACTCGATACAGTAACGACAGTGCAAATGAATACTGTAATGCATTTTATGTCAAATTATCAGAAAGAAAAAAACATACATATATGATCAAAGAGAAAAGATGAAGGGGAGCAAGCAGAAACTCACAACAGCAAGAATATCTTTTGCTAGTCCCTTTTCATATGATGGTGGTCCAACTTTTGCATCCAGAATCACCTGCTGAACTGAACTTGATATCAACTGGAAATTTACGTAAAACATGGTCAGAGAAAAGTTCATTGCTAAAGATTTTAGATAACAAACAGGAAACAACAGAGCAAAAATTAAGACAATATATGACATTTAATTTCAGTGGCATCAGAAATTCGCATGGGGAAAGAGTGAGAGCAATTGTTGAAGCATGTCTATGAGAAGTAAAATAGTAGGCGGAGGCGAGAGAGAGAGAGAGAGAGAGAGAGGGAGGGAGGGAGGGAAGGTACTGGGATTACCGCCAAAGCATCTTCCAAAGTGGGAACCGTATGATCATGAAAATCCTGTGCAGACTGGTGATGTACAGCTGATTCTTTAATCTACAACCACAAACAAGCATATAGTCTCAATCAACAGCACTTGTAGATGTTTTCCAATATGAAATACATACATAAATTTCAAGACTGAAAAATATCATTAGTTTCTCTACTGAATCAACTTCTGAATTCCAAAAACAGAAAAAACATCCCTCTTGGTTGAGATAAACATAAATATGTGACATAGTCACTCTAAAGACCAATTGACCAAGCACATACAATAAATCAATATGATCGAATAAAGATGATGGCAGAGTGACATATCTGAATTTGGTATAAAAAAGCTTTTGTCTCTGTTTACGTACTTTTTATAAGACTTGAAAAAAGTAGATTTATATTAATCAGCATTTGAGGAAGTAAAAAATTTACAATCACATCGAATAAATAACTGCATTTATTAAAACAATATTAGAGGAACTTAACAACATAGTTGAAAATATCTCCAAGTCAGCAATTCTAACCTCTTTCATGCTCAAGTGCCCAACTTTAGAAGCACTGTTACCAGATATCCGCTGCAAATCCCTGCCTGTGTCATGTGAAAATCAAGATTCCAAACAGGAGAAAAATATCTTCATATACGAAAAATCTAAAGCTATTAAACTTATACTCGAAACAAGGACATTATCCATTGTCAAGTAAAACATTAGCCACAATGTCCAAGATGAACTATCACATATCCATAACATTAGGTTTTGAAATGCAATACAAAAATAATTTTCAGCTAACCAAAGGAAGGATCAGGATGCATAGTAAATATTCCTTTCGAACTTTCAGGTATATCTTGGTAGTCGGCACCAATAGCATAGAATTTACACAGACCAAGCATTAACCAGTTACACGATGATCATTTAGATTCTTAAAACCGACCGGAAAGGCAAAAAAATCAGAACATACCTGTCATGGAGAGCAAATAAAACTCCATCTTTTGAACGAGAAACATCAATCTCAATGCAGTCTACTTTAGAACGAAGTGCTAAATGATACGCAGCCATCTACAGATTAACCAAAGAAATTAATGCTAATAAATACCAAAATTCGGTTTTGCTTTCTAAGAAAAAAGTAAGCTTACAGTGTTAGGGAAGGCGTTGATTGAATCACCACCATGAGCACAAACAAGTGGAGGATCATTAAGCCACCCACACTTCTTTAATTGCATCTGCACAAACATTTTCAAAAACAAATAATAATAATAAATAAATAAATAAGAAAAAGAGGAAATAAAGAACAGAGCATGATTAATTGGACAATTAAAATGAGAGAGAAAGGGTTACTTGATGGAGGCGACGGAGCTTGAAGTGGAAGAAAATGGGAGGCAAGAGAGCAATGAAGGCAAGTATTATTATGATATACCGAAATGACTTTCTTGAACCGGAAAGTTTTATCTTAGGGAATCGATTACTGCCTTGATGTCTCTGTAGCAGCGACGCTTGATATCTCCTTCCTCCTCCTCTTCCTCCTTGTCTAGTGGAGATCGCCATTTTGACTGTCCCTCGCACTCAAACTGGAGAGCTACGAATTTAAGTTTAAAAAAGTTTTCTGCGAGAATTTCATTTTTTTCCCCGGAAATAAGAAGTGAGGAGTCTGTTGGTTGAGTTAATTGTGACTTGGTGCCTGAAGTTGAATATATCTGACTAATTAATCCCTATAATTTTAGTAACTATTAGTTGGCGTCTAACGTTACACAGAGAATGATAAAGAAGTCTCGAAATGTTGTACTTATTGATCCAGAATGTCAATGGATCTCATATTGAAATAATAATAATAATAATAATAATTCATGGAAGTAATGCTATTTGGCATCCATTAGAGGTAGAAAACTATTCATCGGGCATTGATGAGCAAGGCATTGTTCTTCACCCATAGATTTCAATAAAATAGGCGAACGACAATTGCGAGTTTTATGAGCAAAAAAAAAAAAAACATAAATAAGGGGTCTGATGCAATATTAACATGTTACAAACCAAATTTGCTTCGAAAAGACGTATATGATTAGTACAGATAGCTAGTGTGCACAGGAAGTTGATGTTGGTTGGAACCGAAACCAACATTATCATCAAACAAAAGCGTCGCGATGAAATGGTGGTCCAAAACCATGTTGAAGACTCCGGTGAAGCCATGGTTAGACACCAAGTTCATGCAATCTTGCCAGGTAGCAACATCGAAGCTTCAACTGTGCCATCGCTAATAACACATAGTACATGGTGCCTACAATTGAGAAAAGTATTTAATTCGTATTGGAGGCAAGAGACGCTCAGATATTAAGCTGTTCTGCGCACGAGATCAACCATCAACAAACAGAGTTTAAATATATGTAACAAACAGAAAGGTTTGGAAGAACTAAATGCGGGCTATTAGATCTTGTTGCAAAATCTCGTAGTTAGGCAAATTTTTTTGTGCAAAGTCGAGGGCACCGGAGACATGACAGATACCACCTTCTGCATGTTATGTCAAAACTTATCACCGAAACACTGATGGTGAAGAAAATTTCCTCAGAAAATTTAAAATTTTGGAGTGAGATGCATGCTTGAAATGTTACTTGTTGATTTAAGCTAGAAGGGTATGTATATTGATGGATTTTTGGTTTGTTATGAGGAATAACTTCCGAAGAAAGCACTTGTTCAGATGATTTAGTTGTCTCATGCTACGAAATAGAGTAAGGGAAGTAGAAAAACTTGTTCATCCAGAATAGCTGGGTGGAGCAATTGTTGAATGGTAGATCTGTTTTCATCCCTTAACAATTTGGCCACCTTGATCGTCGTATTGATATAACATTTTTTTTTTTTTTAATTAGAGAAAGGCTCTATGAGAATCCATGATGTGGTGGAGAATTTTTAATGTCATGGTTCTAGAGAATTTTGATTTTTTTTTTTATTGTGAAATTACAATATTGATATGATTGATGAGATAGTATTGAGTCTTAATTTAGTATTTTGCCCAAAGAGGTGCAAAAGTTAAGTGTGAGAAAATTTGATAATGAGCATTGTTGATGATATTTATTCTCTTATATTAGTCTTTGAATGTAATTTTAGGTTCTATATGTAATATTCGATATCCACTAAAACTAAATTTAAAAATATTAAAAACCTATGAAAAATATTTTGTGAGCAAGGAATGGTCTTAATGGGGTTCTAGAGTATTTAGAATATTTAAAATGATTTTTCTATGTGCTATGCATGTTTTAGGGATTTTTCGATACATAAATAGTAATTTTTATGTGAAATAATTAATTCAAATATATTAAATGTGCATGAAAAATGTTGTGTTTGCTTAGAATATTTGCTAGAAGGATGCTAAATTATTCTATGTTGTGGGATGAATTTTTCGATATTCCGTGTTATTTGTATTTTATTGTGCATGAATAGTATTTTGAGATTAATTAACTAATTTAGGTGTTTTAAAAGTATAAGAAAATTATTAAAAGGGTATAAAAAAATCATTTAGGATGTATAGGAATATTTAATAAATTTAGATGAATTTTTCTATAAATAAGGAATATTTTCTATAGGAAATAGTGTAATTTTTACACTAAATAATTAATTTGAAGGCCTAAATAAGTATATAAAAATTACATAAATGATGATTAAATTATTTTAGAAAGTGCTTGAATTTATTATAAAAATAATTTGGATTTTGGAAAGGTATGGGATGCAATTTTAGACTTAGGGACTTAATTGCATAAAATTAGGGACTCAATTGAATAAAATCAAAAGCTTAAACTTTCAAATGAAATTAGATATAAATTTTAAGGGTCAACAATTTGTTATAAAAACTAGAAAAGAAGGGTTTAAACTGATCAAGTGAATAAAAGAAGGACTTTTGAAAGATTAGTCTATGGAAAGCTTTGGCAATTTGGAGGACTAAAATTAATTATTTTCATTCCATCTTTTGTCGACTTGGAGAATTAATTAGGCTTGATTTCCAATTAAATTGATGGCCCTAATTAAGCTAAATAGAAGGTTTATATTAAAAGCAAGATAAAAGGCTAAACATTTAGTCAAGTAAAAAGAAGGGATTAAAAGAGAAATCAAGGGCCAAGATTTATCCAAATAAAGGGTGGAGATTAAGTTAACAAGTCCACCTAATTTGCCTATAGATAGGAGTACTGAAAAAGTGAAAAATAAAAGGAAATTAGAAAAATGCAAACTAAACTCTTGCAAAATTTTCACTCAAAATTTACCTAAAATACCTTCAACTAATTTTAGGCACTCCAAATTAGTAGATTAAACCCTAATTTCAAGTTGGAAGCTAAAAATTTCCAAGGAGGAATTTAGAGAAAATTATCCAAAATTAAGGAGAAAAAGAGGAAGGAAGAAATCTTCAAACAACCCAACTTTTCAAGGATAAAGTGGAGCTAATTTGAGTAATTAACTTCACCTACTCTACAAGGAAGTTTAATTTGAAGTTAATTTTATGTTTGATGCTTCAATTTAAGTTAATTACAAAAATTATAAAAATTAGGGTTAGAGTTCTTGGTTAGGAAAAATTAGAGAAAATGGTCCTAACCTAAAATTTCATAAAATTGAAATTAAATTAGGTTATTTGGGTTCAAATCTCAAATTTCATGATTAAAAATAAAAATTGAGGTGGTTAGGAAGGGTAACCCATTTGGCCCAAAATTATCAATTTAGGAATTTTTTTTATGCTTTACTTGTTTTGATTGTTTATTACTTGATTATGTGTTAATTAGGTATGAATTGATGTTTATGAATGAAAATTTGCATTGAAATTGAAGAAAAATCCTTTGAGTTGTTTAGGAGAGCATTCGACCTCAACCTTAAATTTTTAGGATTTCGATTCTTTTACTTGATTCATGAATGGTTGGTAAATTTTTAGTTGAATATGTATAATTTGATGAGTGAAAGTGAAAAATTCTAAGAAAATTGAAGAAATTTTTCTAAATTAGCTTAAGCCCAATTTCGACCCATTAAGGCCCAATTACGTTTTAAGCATGAATTTGACCTAGAAATGTCAATTAAATTAATGCTTGATGCTAATTTGTAATTGAATGACTTAGTATTAGAAATTAGTAATGAATTGAGAAGAAAATAATAAGGTTAGGGTTAGGGTCGTGGTCGTGGTTATAATCGACCCAAAATGAAACGAATTAGGGTTTAAGTTTAATTGCTTCTTAATGCTCTAATTATTCAATTTACACTTAGAATAAGGTAATGAGATGAGTGAGAATAAGAAATTACATTGAAATTGAACAATTAGCTCATATTATTCAAATTAGGGTTTAGGCCCAATAAGATCCAAATTGAAAATTATACATCTAAATAACTAATTAATACATAATTAAGTTATTTCTTGATGTTAGGGTTTAATTGAGTGGAATTACGTAAGAAATGGGTATTAAAGTCGGAAGAAAACGATTAGATTAAGTTAAGGTACCATTTGGCCTAAATTAGTAAAATTAGGGTTTTGTGATTTGATTTGTGTATTTTAATGTGTAGTTGATTTTTGTAATGCCAATTGATCTCGTTTGGAATGTGTATGTGACGTGTAATATGCAATGTTGGTGGTTATGAAGTTGTGATGTTTTATGTTGTATATTGATGTGGTTATTTATAATGGTTTAAATGATTTCATTAAGGTAATGTTGAAATGTATTTATGTTGTTAAATTATGCGATATCATGGCATAAATGCATCTCATTTATGACATGCATTTCATGAAGCAATAATGATTATGCATTTTCAATAAAATGCATATGCATGCCCAATTTTATGAAAGATGTTTTAAAGTCATGAAAAATATGTTTTTATGTCATGGTTTTCCTATAGCAATTTGAAAGATTTATGGATTGAAATTTTCATGCCCGTGAGACTTTTATGAGGAGGGCTTCATGGTTTTTCCATACTTTTATGGTAAATGGTTCGGTGGTTGGGCAAGAGCAAACGTACACTTGTAGAGGCTCGATAAGGTGCGTCCTAAGACGAGTCTAGTTCGCTAGACATATTATGGAAACCCTAAAGTACCTATGATGGGACATGTCCAAAGATGAAAAAGGATTTTTAGATTGATTATGAAAAGTATTTATGACTTGAAAAGGATTTTATACGAGCATATAAATGATTTATACATGCATTTTTATTTACATGCATAACATGCATTAGTTAACTTATTGAGTCGTCGCTCACCTATTTGCTTGTAATGTAGCTAATACAGTAAACATGGCAATGTTCACTTTTGAGCCGACTACCGAGGGGACCGTCCGACGCGTGTATATTGGTTATGGTTGGAAGATGGACTTAGTGTACACCCTAACTATCCTTGTACTTGGTATACTAGTTTATTTCTTAGCTAAGTCCGTATTTTTCTATATGATAGTTAAAATAATGACAGAGTAGAAGACTAGTTAAAAAAATGGATGTGGATAGTTAATAAGCCATTTTTTGTAGTATTTGGCATAGAACTAGTTATGTACGTTAATGGTAGTTGTATGTAAATAAAATGTCAAGTAGTAAAATAGTAGTAC